ATATATATATATATATATCCAATATTTCATTATTTTACTACATTGTCTCGAAGGCTCCGTAGTTTTCTTTTATGTCAGCCCTCAATGTAATCTTAAAGCATATATTGTTAAGGTAACGCCCACCGATAATAAATCCTGGTAGGGTCTTCTGTTCCCTTACAATAGCCTCGCTATCGAGGTTCTGTAAATCTGGGGAGAAGACACATCCTTGTCTTACAAACTTTTCTATTTTAAATGTTTATATGTATATGTAATGTGTGTATGTGTGTATACACTTGAGGATTGTATGCGTCATAGGTTAGTTGTTTACAATAATCAGCTGAAAGCCATCTCGGTCTTTTTTTAGAATAACTACTTCTTTGTAAGATAGTAAAGAAAAGTGGGAAGAAAAGACTAACCACCTATTGTAAGAAATGTATGGTCGTCAGCAAGAGAAAAATCCCAGAATGCAAATTGGGAGCACCAAACCCTACAAGGACTTATTATTGGGTGGCGTAATCTTAACCATACGCAGATGACATTGTGATGGTGGAAGAGACAGAAAATTGCAGTGGGTCTAAGAAGGTTGCATGAATGTTTAAAATGTTTCGCTGTAAATAAAACATGGAACATTCATAAACATAAATTTAAATAAAAAATCAAATGATAATGATATTCAATTACGACGAAAAGGATATGTTTGGGAACAATAAATATATTTTTTAGATGCAGAATATTACAATTTTGTTTTGTAAAGATGTGTGCAAAAGCTTGATTCAGAGTATTTGTTGCTGGTTTGGAAATGTTTCGTATATTTGTAATGTAGTTTGGAAAATTTCGTACGTACGTGCATGTGTGCGTGTCTGAATATGTTTTCATAAGCGTCTGACAATATAAAGTCAAGACGCGAATCTTTTAAGGTTACATTTTCGTAGGCGAAAGAAATCAAGAAAAAGAGAGAACGAACTCGTGTCTATTATGTATAATTAATGTAATCACGTGACAGATCCCTGGAAAAAGAGCGGGAAAACATGACTTGGTCACGCGCTGGAAAAAGACTTGTAACGTAAGTGGATTGCAACGCCCACTTGTTTGTTTATTGTCCAATTTAAAGTTGAGATTTCCTGAAAATATGTATGAAACTGGGTAAGCTCTTTGATCCACTTTTCGCACAGAATTGTACAAAATTCAACATTGATAAGAAAGTTGCATCTGAATGCTAAAAAATAAACTGCACGGCTTCCAAGACGAGGCAGTAAAATAGAGTGAACAAATCGTACAAGAACACAAAATGTATGGTTGCTTCTCAGCAAGTGAAAAAGCCGATGATACGAACTACGAACTGGAAATGTTAACATTAAACAAATACAGAAGTTGAAATATCTGGGAAGTGTTTTCCCTGAGGATTGAAAATGTAACACCGAAATCTGAACACACATCAGGTTTTTTTTTAATTTTGCTGGTTGGAAAATCAAGATGATAAAAAGAAAATTCGAAATGTCACAGATAGATAGATAGATAGATAGATAGATAGGAGTTGACGACATTTATATATATATATATATATATATATATATATATATATATATATATATATATATATTTTTTTTTGATGCTCAGTATAAGAAAAATGTTCTTTTACAAACCTTACTTTGGTTCAAAATATAAGAATGCGTTTTTGTTGGGGTGGAATGGGAAAAGACAAGGGGTCACCTCTCTTATTCTTAATGTTAAATAAGGTGCAAACAAACAAGACTCGACCACTACATTTAAAAGAATAATCTTTTTTTTTTAGATACATATCTTTAAAAAATTAACAAACTGTGATAGATAGATAGATAGATAGATAGATAGATAGATAATGAACAGACTGTGATAGAAAATGAACAGACTACGATAGATAGATAGATAGATAGATAGATAGATAGATAGATAGATAGATAGATAGATAGATAATGAACAGAGATAGCTAGCTTGATAGCTAGATAGCTAGATAATGAACAGACAGGTAGATAGATAGATAGATAGATAGATAGATAGATAGATAGATAATGAGCAGACTGTGATAGAAAATGAACAGACTACTACAGATAGATAGATAGATAGATAGATAGATAGATAGATAGATAGATAATGAACAGAGATAGCTAGCTAGATAGCTACATAATGAACAGACTGATAGATAGATAGATAGATAGATAGATAGATAGATATCTTTAAAAAAAACAAATACGTTAATATTTAAAAAAAAAAGTTTTCCAGATAATTTTTCTTTTGTGCGTCTTATTCAAAAAATAAAGCTGGATAACATTTGAAGCAATATATATGATTTAAAGAAAGGTTATAATACAATTTTCGAAAATGAAAGAAACCTTTGAAAAGATAAAGCGATGTTTTGATAATACAGAAAGTATAAAAGGTGCACCCACCTTAATTATAAGACAAAAAAGTATGTCTCAGCACGATAGGAGCTTAGATAAATTTCGAGATACCGCTATCGCGGAGACTTTTAATATTTTTTCTTACATAGAAAGGTTCTATTTAACAGGTTTCAGTTCCTTTAAAAAATTCTTCTCAGAAAACAACACAAATTAATTTTTCTCCTGGTTCCTTAATCTTTCTTCTGGATGAAATTTTAGAGTCTTTTCGCTTTCGTTGAAAATTAGAAAATATGAAACCTTCTTTCGCGGCCAGCAGGCTTTGGCCCCTTTGAGTGGCTTATCACTTCCTTCTGCTTTGAAACTGTTTTCTACCTTGAAATCTGTTTACATTCTCACCTTATCAGTTGGTCAGAGTGTTTATATAGGAAAAAACAGGAGGCTCCAGAGACAGATTTTCATTTCCAAATTTACGAAGGCATGAAACCACATCTCAGATTGATCCTTAAATAAAATAGTACATATATTTTTGGAATTCAAAAGATGATTCAGCAACAATCCACATAGAAGGATTTATCATGGCGGCTCTTTAACTGCTAATTCTAAAAATAGAAATGTTCACAAATAGAATACCCTTCTCTAAAAAGCACGTATAATGGACAAACCTAGCCGATTATGATATTTATTTGTTTACGCTTTTAAATTAATTATTAATATTAATTATTTTACACCACTAAAATAAAAACTGTTTATTTGAGAGTTACAAAGGATAGCAAATTATGAAGAGCCATGATGTCTGCAAAATGAATGAAAACTGCAAATGCGAACATTTGGTGAAATGGAAAATATTCAAGCTAATGGTTCGGTGATTGCAACTAGCTAGTCTAAAAGATAGGACAGAAAAAAACATATTTACCCTCTCCCAATTGTATACCTTGTGGCTCCTTTATTATAAAAATACAATATATCACCTTTCTCATAGGTGTGTGCAAAAGCTTACGGTCAACAACATAAAATGATTGTACACCTTTATTTTTTATTGCTTTATTTTATTTTTAATCATTTCAACCCAAGCAAGGCGATAATGCCACTAAGACGCAAGAGGTTACTTGGAGTGTTAAGATTTTTTTAAGCTTTCCATCCCAAGCAAGGCGGGAGTGCCACTAGCACGCAAGGGGTTACAGAAAGTGGGAGCAAGAATAAAGAGGCGTGATAGAGGAAAGGATGAAGAGAAGGAAAGGGAATAGATCTAGGCATCTGGAGATATCGATTGACATTGCGTTTGAATAGTTGGAGATTATAGCTATCAGGGAAGCAAGTAAGAGGAAGGGAGTTCCACTGTCGGGAAGTGCGAGAGCTATCGGAGTAGAAGAGACGGCTACATTTAACCGTTTCGACAATGAAAGAGTTGAACTGAGATGCCAACCTACTAACACGTTTAAATTCATGCATTTTGGGAACCAGCGAAAATATCACGTTGGGGCAGTTACCGTGAAAGTATTTGTAGAAAAGACAGAGGGAAGCGATGGCACTGTTTAGCGATGTGCTTTTATCAGAAGTGTTTGTGAACATGTGAGCAATGAGGAAGTTTTATGGAAAATGGAAGCAAAAAGTATGCTTATACTTAGAATTAGAAAGTTGACATTTCTAGAACACATAGAAAGAAGGCTTGCAAAATTTGATACTCACAGGACAGATTGAAGGCAAGAGGGACAGAGAGAAATAACAAGTTATCTCCCTAATGAGCTTGTGTAACTGGACAGCATATCGGAAACAGGGAGTGATAGTAAAAAGACAAAGATTGCTAAGAGCAATAAAGATGTGGAGAGCCATGATCGTTCATGGTCGGAAGGGACCCGGTACAAAGAAGAAGAAGATTATTATAATTCGATCATTGCTGAATAACGGGAGGGAAAGTCGGGCAAAGAGAAATAAAAAAGAAAGGAAGGAAAGTAAAAATCAACGAAACGCCAAAACAGACACAAAGATGATATTAAGAAGATAAAATAGAAAATAAGAAAATCTACATGGGAAAATATAGTGCTCGAAACATAAAATGTTTCTAAGGTAGATAGATTTGCCTATCGTCCTGTTCACGTTCTTCCTCAGGAGTAGAGGTTTATCCCTTGTTACCTGTTTAGGATTAGATTTCCGGTTCCTTCGTTATTTTCTTTCACGTCCAGTCGCGCCTTGCATCTTTGGGGCATTATCGCCTTACTTGGGGCGAATTGATTTTTTAAAATATAGAGACGTAAAAGGTCTCATGTGGATACAATCGCAGATTCCGCTTTGGGATTTAAACAAAAGTTTCATATAAATGTAAAGAGATATCATGATGGTGTTTGCGCATGCGTCTGACGGTATTTGACCCTATCACAAAATGTGTATGCAGAACGGACTTGTTTCTGTATATAACTTTGTGCTGGGCCTACGTGTTTTCGCGAGCAGATGTATTCGCCAGTCCAAGAACTAATTATAGAGTTCTTTCTTTGTTATCCAATTTTAGTTGGCTTCGCTATCGAACTGAATTCTTAAAGACCAAAACGGTCAATTCCAATCTGAGTCGAAGAGTCGATGGCGTCTCACTACTGGCGACCAATATCAAATTTCATTAACAAAGATCGGCCAGCTCACCACAAGCCATTATAGGCATGTTTCTACAGAGAGAGAGAGAGAGAGAGAGAGAGAGAGAGAGAGAGAGAGGAGGAAGGAAGGAGAAAGAGTTGGAGAAAGGAGGAGAGAGAAAGAGATAAATTCAAGAGAGAGAGAGAGAGAGAGAAATAAGATAAAAAAAATTAGGCAGTGAGAGAAAAACAGAAAGGTAAAGATGTGAGAAGCAGATAGAAAATAGAGAAGGTAAAACAGAAAATAGTAAGAGAGGAAACAGTGGGAGGGGGGATATATAAAACAGAAAAATAAGGAGAGAGAGAGAAAAAAACAAGAACGGTAGAGAGAACAGAAAGGGAAAAGAGAAAAGAAATATAAAACTACAGGTCAAGATAGAGAAAAAATAGAAAAATAGCAGGAGAAATAAAGAGATAGAAACAGAAATATGAAGGGGTGGGAAAGAGAGAGAAAAAAGAGGAAAGAGAAAAACAAACAAACAAAGAAAGAAAGAAAGAAAGAAAAAAGAAAGAAGAGAAGAGAAGATAATGAGAAAAATAGAGGGAGGGAGAAAAAGAGTTTCTTTGGTTTAAACTTGGCTGTTGTACAGACGCAATATCAGCTGAATTCAAGTTCTGTAAATGAACATAAATGCCAATTCATTTCTGCATATATATATATATATATATATATATATATATATATATATATATATATATATATATATATATATATATATATATATATTCATTCCATCTTCTGCATTTCCCGCCAAATAAAGCGCGCTTTATTTTCCAAACAAAAATATACCCTGGAAATTTCGCAGTGTCTTAAAAAGCCCGTTGATCCGTTTACTGGAAGGAGATCAACATCTAAGCACTCTTATTTCGAACACTAGTTCCATGATAAACCAACGTTAAATAAATTGAAGTACAAAAAAAAAAAAAAGAAAAGAAGAAATTAAACACACTAGTGCATTGGATAGTTTTACTCTCCCCTACTTGTAGAAATGTACTCAGCCATATCACGTGAATGAATGAACTCGTCGTGTAACAGTTGTCGGCGCAAAAAGAGGGATTGTCGGACCGAGATCAAATTGCATCTAAGCTAAGTTGTCCGTGTTGCCATATAAGCTATCACACACAAGGAAAAACCGAGACATGCAAAGTAATGCAAATACCTTCTATTTCAATCTCACAATGTTTCATCTTAGATTGCCTTGTGGAGTCGAATATCTCTGAAACTGTAATAGATTAAAAAGAAATGGGCGCCATTTTGGGCTTGCTGCTCGGGAACTGAGCATGCTGGCTTTATTTCCCCATTCATGTGATGTTATCGCATGACATTCTAAATGTAAGGGCAGATAATTATTTTGAATTATTAGAAACGCTAATTCAAATAGACACTTCGTGTGGTAATTGAAGATAAATTTATTTTTTAACTGTCCAAATTTCATTTCACAACAAACAGCTTTTTCAATCAGTATTCGTAAATAGCAAATTTGGAATTTCAAGGTTCATGACTTCTCAACGACATTGTTCTTAAATTTATTACTCTCAAAATGATTATATAGTCAAAAACAACCTATATATTGTTGTTAACTGGGGCAAGCAATGGCTTGTTAATTTTAGCGCCTCCAAAACAAAACTGATCTCTATTAATCATTTGAAAGACCGCTTCCTACCTTCGATCAGCATGGCTGATGCTAACCTCCAGGAGATTGATTCGTTGCGTCCTTCTCGGGCTAACATTCCCGGTTGACATGAAGTAGAAAGAATATATTGAATCCATTGCTAGGTCAGCTGCTAAGAAAGTTGGTTCACCGCGTCGTACTAGACAATTTTCCTCTCCAAAATATATCTTACGTATCTATAAGTCTACCATTCGTCCATACTTAGAATATTACTGCCACATATGGTCCGATGCCCCTGCTATACATTTAGAGATTCTTGATAAAATCGAAAGAAGAATCAACAATATTATTGTTTTCGTTCTGGCGTCTCGGCTTCAGTCACTTTCCCATCGCCGTAAAGTTGCTCCCCTGTTCCTTTTCTATAAATATTTTCATGGTAATCGCTTGGATAAGCTCTTTGCTATGGTACCTACACTTTATGAATTTAAGTGCAGTACTAAATTGCCAACAAGGTCTCATCAATTTACAGTTAAACTGGTTAGATGTAACTGTAAGTTCTATGCTAACAGTTTCTTTTCTCGCACTTCTCGCTTATGGAAATCTCTTCCGGTTCCAATGCTTTCCAACCAATTTTGATCTTTAAAAGTCTAGATGCAATGTCAATCGTCGTCTACTGTCTTCTTGGTGTGCCTTCAATCGTTCTCGCTCCTTAATAATGTTTCTGTTTTCTAATTCTTTCATACCCAGTAATCCCTTGTGTCTTAGTGACTTTACTACCTTGCTTGGGGTAAATTCGATTAAAAAAATATGGCTCTGTATGCTTGGATGTTTCTCAAATCAATTGAAATGATTTTATTGTGTATGGGGGGGGAGCTGTAGTGCGTTGATTGAAAGAGAAAGAAGTTAGGTTAGCCTGGGTTGATATTACGATACGCTAACCTTTGTTGGGTTATTTAATGTAAAAATGTTGTATGGTACACCGAACGATAGTAATGGCCGACCAGACTGGCCTCACTAACAATTATCTAACACTGAGGCGTTTGCAAAATGATTTTTTTTTTACTATAAAACGCAATGAAAATGATTTTGCTATCAAAAGCATTGCAAATAATTTTACAATATAAACGCATTGGAAGTGATTTTACTATGAAAATGCACATAAAATGATTTTACTATACAAATGCATTGGATATGATGGAAATGCATTGAAATATAAATATATTGAAAGGGATTTTACGATGAAAATGTACATAAAATTATTTTACTATACAAATGCATTGGAGCTGAATTTATGATCGAAATGCATTGAAATATAAATATATTGAAAGGGATTTTACGATGAAAATGCATCACAAGTGATTTTATTGAAAAGTCAGCTTGCAGATGATTTTATTGAGAAAATGCATTAGCAAGTATATTACGATAAAAGTTCATTTTAAATGAATTTATTATCAAAATGCACTGGAAATAATTTTATTATATAAATACATTAGAAGTGGTTTTATTATATAAAAGCATTGGCAATGCTTCTACTATATATCTCAAAGGCGGTCGACAGGTTTGGGATACTGGCCTTCTACATAAACTCAAGGATTACGGTAATACGAGACGAATATTTGGTTTAATCCAATCGATCCTAACAAATTATGTAATGAAGGTCATTTTGAATTGGCAACTTTTAGGTCATTTCATACGAACGTGAGGGTCCCCCAGGGCTTTATCCTAAGAGCAACCCTGTTTCTGATCTTCATTAATGATCCTCCCGGTGTCATCAGTAAATACCTCAACTAGGCATTTATGCAGATGACACAACCATTTCATTCTGTCTTAGCTTTAAGCCCGACAGACCCGACGAAGTAAACATAGTAACTGCTCTTGAAAAGACCTCCAACCAGTGGTTAACTAGGGCAACATTTTTGAACTGATCCAGTCTTTCCTATTAAATCATGAAATGAAAGTTATCCTGAACGGCCACTCTTCTAGATCCATTCTTACTAACACCGTGAGCCTAGATATCTCAAAAGCGTTCGACAGGGATTGGCATGCTGGACTTCTCCACAAACTCAATGGATGTGGTGTCTATGCACGAATATTTGGCATCCGCATGGTTGATGGTAAACTCCATGAGAGCAACTCCCTACACCTTCTTGGCCTCATGTTTTCCACTGACATGAGCGTCGACTATATATCGAATCAGTTGCTACGTCTACAGCAAAGAAAGTTGTTTCACCGCTTCCTGCCAGAAATTTTTCACGTCGGAATCCATCTTGCACATTTATAAATTTATCATTCCATTGCCTTGAACACTGTTGTCATATTTGGTCTGATGTCCCTGTTGTATATCTCGAGATTCTTGACAAAATTCAAAGAAGGGTCTTTCTGACCAGGCATCTCGTCAGTCACTTTCTCGCCGATGTCACGTGACTTCTCTCTGTTTTTTCTACAATTATTTTCATGACAACTGCTCTAATCTGTTCTTTTTCCTGGTTCCCTGATTACACGAATTTAACCTGAGAATTACCTGAAAAAAAAAACGACCTTCAACCAGTGGTTAACTAGGGCAACATTCTTGAACTGATCCAGTCTTTCCTATCAAATCGTGAAATAAACGTTATCCTGAACGGCCACTCGTCTAGATCCATTCTTACTAAGGCGGGTGTCCCCCAGGGATCCATCTTTGAACCTTCTCTGTTTTGAATTTTCATTAATGATCTTCCCGATGACACCAGCTCTCAACTTGGCATCTACGCTGACAACAGAACCATTTACTTCTGCCTCGATAGTAAGGCTGATCATTCCGACAATGTCGAAATGGTAGCCGATGTCAAAAACGACCTCAAGTCCGTTGTTAACTGGGGCAAAAGATGACCTGTTAATTTTAACGCCTCCAAAACAAAACTGCTTTCATCTAAATCATCACAAAGAAATTTTTCTGTCTACCACCATCATGACTGATGCTTGCAAAAGTAATGGAAAGAAAAAGAAAAATACTCTAAATTAATTCGACTACTTAAAAAAAATTCTAAAATTCCCAGCAGCCCTCTGTTGTGACCATGTGTAGTCTTACCAACATAACAAGTTCAGTCCGATAAAGTAAACTTTTTCCACTTTGTCATACAATTCCCTAAGTCTGTTCTTGATATTTAAAAATGTATATCGTTATCTCATAATCTATTATACAGGGTGTCCATAAAGTTCGTGTGCACTTTAAAAATGTATAACTTTATTTTTATTTGCGATAGAAATAATTTGTAAAAAATGTTATAAAGTTTAATGTACCTAGTTTTAAGTATAGCTAAAATAACTAATGTGATTTCAGGCATTACTGTAAATCAGTTGGCAAATGTTTTCTGTGAACTGCAAAATCGTATTACCCTTTGTATTGCTAATGATGGAGGACGTGGAAACTTAAATAAAATTTCAATAAAACCTTAAAAAATATAGATTTACTTCTTTCTAATCCTTTTTACAAATTATTTCTATCGCAAATACAAATAAAGTTATAATTTTTTTAAAGTGCACACGAACATTATGGACACCCTTTATAAATGAGGATTTATAAAAGGAGTTGATACGGAATTACTAAATCGTACATTTCTCTCGATATTGTTAATGGAGAATTGAAGATCAATCTGCCCTCGTAATCTTGACAACTGCAACTTTTCTTCTGTTTATTTTGGTTCATTTATTAATATTATCCGATTTATTGATATGACAACTTTGGCTCGAGGAAAAAAAGCACGTTAGCCCATGAGTTGTTTCATATTCACTTGAGAGATACATCTGTTTACTTCTCTAACCGACGGCCATCTTCGCTGGTGCTTCGTTATTTGACATCAGAGAAGTTTCAGTTCGATGAAGAGGACTGGAAGGCCACGAATGTTATATTTCGCTTTCTTTTGTTTAACTAGGGACGGAAATTGACATCTTTTTTATATTTTTTTATTTGATAGCGATCTATTATATCCAGATTGCAAAATGTCTTCAAGCTATAACAGATACAATCAGTGTTTTGTCTCAATTTCAGTTCTACGTCGTCCAATATGTTTTCCAATTGCACATAATGTTTGACTTTGTTTTTGTTTTATTTTGTTGTTGTTGTTGATTTTTTCTTTCTGTATTTTCCGTTATAAATGTACTTCTTTGTTTTGTTTTAATCGCTTACGTTGACCTATAATCTGCAACCACAAAACTTTGATTTTGTTTTTAAACACCTAATCGACAAAGGTCCTGATAATTGCACGAACTTTTTCTCACGTTAAGTGTAAATAACCTTAACAGTGTTCTAACAGAGGACGGAAAGTGTGACGCTGAGATCTGAAGACGCATTGGGAATGACCAAAGATGCCTTCCAAAAGCTAAGCAGAGTATTAAGAGACAGAAAAATTTCGTTAGAAACAAAGAAAAAGTTACGTGATATCTGTCCCCCCCACTTTATGGCAGTGAAAGAAAAGATGAAGAAAAGACTTGAAGCAACAGAAATGTGGTTCTACAGAAAAATGCTGATGATACAATGGACTGAATATATGAACAACGATAAGGTTTTGGGGAAAAAAAATAGAAACAAAAAGGAAACACACTTAAAATCAAAAAGAGACAGTTGAAATTTCTGCTGCACGTAATGAGGAAGGAGGGCTTGGAAAATCTGATACTCACAGGACTGATTGAGGGAAAAAGGAAAGCAGCGGGTAAC